TCCCTTGATCCACAAGATCATCACCTGAGTCAAAACCAAGAGTCAGACGCTTAACCAAATGAGCCACCCAGGCACACCCCACCCCCCAAATTTTTTTAAAGAGAAGAAAATTCCTCTCCCTCACAGAAATACTGTGAGGTTCATGTTATATGACAGTAAGGTATAAACTATAAAATGTGTGATATTATTATAATTATTATTATCATATTCTGTAAGCATGAAAAGTGTTAATACTTCTGAGAGGTAAATGAATCATGAAAAAGGATGTGAAAGCTTGTCTCATATAACTCTGGCCAGAAAAGTAATGTGATCAACTTTTTCCAGGTAAATGACAAACTAAATGAGAAAATATGCACTTAGGTACATTTTGTGTGTGTGTGTGTGTGTGTGTATTTGAAATACAATTTTAAACTCCCTGTTCTAGGGGCGCCTGGCTGGCTCAGTTGGTTTAGTGTCCGACTTTTGGTTTCAGCTCAGGTCATGATCTCATGGATAGTGGGCTTGAGACCACCAGGGGATCCATGCTCAGAAGGAAGTGTGCCAGAAGATTCTCTTCCTCTGCCCCTCCCCCAACTCATTTGCTCACTCCGTCTCTTTCTTTCTCTCTTTCTCTCTCTCAAAGAAATAAATCTTTAAAAAAAGAAGTCCCTGGGGCACCTGGGTGGCTCAGTGGGTTAGGCCACTGCCTTCGGCTCGGGTCATGATCTCAGGGTCCTGCGATCGAGCCCCACATCGGGCTCTCAGCAGGGGGCCTGCTTCCCCCTGCCTTTCTGCCTACTTGTGATCTCTCTCTCTCTGTCAAATAAATAAATAAAATCTTAAAAAAAAAAAAAAAGAAGTCCCTGTTCTATTCTCACCACACTTTCTCTTTAGAAACAAAATTAATTCGATTGCAACTTAATAACATCATTCTTGAGGAAAAAATAAATCACTCCAAAAATGTAGATTTTTGATTTTGTTAAAAACAAAAAGGATAACTCCCATGCAAAATAGCAGCCTTAGTTTTCAAATACCAGATAAATTCTTAAACTACACAGGAGTTAGATTCTCTTAAGTAAACAAATAGCCTTTATCATTATTCCAATTTGACAGGACCAACCCAGATAGGAAACTCTCCATTATTTGCAAAACAAAAAAGCCATCCCAACAGCCACATAATAAGCAAACTGCATTTGATTTAAAAGGTCATCTGAATCAGCCCAGTGGCTTAGCAACAGTGTTTGGAGTTGCTGAGAGACCTAAGATGCACATGGACTTGAATTTCTTGGTCCTAGACACATGAAAGCTAAACCAGCCACTGGGACTTTTACCAAAAGAAAGAAAGAAAGAAAGGGAGAAAGGATAAATACTGGCTTTTATGAGAGCATCTAGATGCCTGGATAAAATTCCCAACAACAGGCTTCTAATCACTGGCAACAATTAATTTGCCTGAGAAATGATATTAAACTAACCAACTCCTCAGGGATTCCCTTTTGGATTTATATTTAAGTAACTGAGCATGACCATTGATAAGATAATTCTTTACTAGTTGGAGTAGGGGGAAAAATAAATCTTTCTAACAAAACAACTGTGGAATAAAAAAAAATTACTGAAATGAAACGAATAATGGCTACTACTTACTAAGTCGCCATTCATTCCACAAGTGTTTACTATGTACGATGCATTCAACAGTGAGCAGACAAAATCTCTGCCCTCATGGTGCTTACTTCCATGACAATCTATTTACTCATTAAAGTATCTCTGGTTCATAGTCATTATTTCTAACTTAAACAAATTGGCAATTTGCCTAAGTCTATACAGCTTAACTCTTAGGTCTCCCTGACTTAAAGCCCAAGCTTTTAATTTAACTGACAAACCTCTGATCAGATAAATTCATACTGAACTTTTCATTCAGAAAAACAGTCACAACTAGATTTGTGTGAGATGACCAAAGGAGAGAGGCAGGGACATAAAGACACTTTCCACCTGGTTCCTTGAACATTTTCTTAGTCATCAACCAGAACCTTTTTCTAGCTGATACCATGAAGTAAACAGAACAGAGACACCTAAGGCTGTTTCTTTACTTTGAGAATGTGTTTTCTTCAGAAAAGCAGGAAAATTTTGAATTTTTTAAAACTTTAAAATTTTTACATTGGATTTCTCACACCTAGCAGCATAAAGATTTCTTTTTTAAAAGTAGACTTGTCACTGCAAAACAAAACAAAACAAAAACCTCAGTATCTTCACACAGTCCCGCTTTTAAACTTTCATATGTCTTGGAAGCCTTTCTAAGCTTTGTATTTCGTTCCTTGTTTTTATCAACACACACATTTCTTGGGCATCCAGTATGTGCCAGTCACCAGAGTATCAAAGGCACAGATATGATTAAGATAAAGTCTCTGCCACTGAGAAGTTTATAATCTCATGGGGCAGAAAGAAATAGGTAATTTCCACACAGAGTGTTAAGTGATATTCACAGGCCTAGGGGAGCTAAAGGGTTGGGAGAAATCTAACCTCCCTGGAGGACTCAGGGAAGGTTTCTTGGAAGACGCCTGAGTCTTAAGAAAGGGAGAAAAAGAGGAAGTGAAAAAACACACAAAGACAAATAGTTCCCTGTGGCTAGGACATTAAGTACAAGGCAGAGAGTGTATTTCCATTTATTCATTCAACAAATATTTTTTGAGCACATATATTTGTCAAATCTGGGCCAAATATTTCCTTGGGTTAACTCTTAAACATCACACAACACAGCGCAGTGAGTGGTATTATTATTAGCATTTTACAGAAAAGTAGACTGAGGATCCAAGAGCTTAGTAATTTTATTTAGAACAGCTCATTTGACCTTTGCACAGTTCTGTTAGAAAGTCCCACCTTAAAACGCAGTTAAAAGTTTCTAACACTAAGCTATAATTCCCATCTCTTGGCTTCAGTTCTATTCTCCAAAATTTTCTCACAAAATCTGCCTCCTTCCCCAATGATGATGATGATTTTGATAGCCTAAGCAAAATAAAAGCTCAAACTGATATCCAAAATACTTATCTATTCTGGTTGACTCCAATAAAAAAGGACAATATTTTTAAACCAAAAGTCACATATTAAAACCTTCGTATAAGGATTTAAAGACTCTACAATTCAACTTGAACTTCGGCGTTATAGGGTTAAAGCAAGGAAGGATGAGCTTAAAGTATCAGCATGCTACTGAAATCCATTTAAATACTATATGGAGATAAATTAACAAGGAAAAAAACAAGAAATTGACAAAGTATTTCCTCTTCTGAAGAACAAAAATGAACCTGGACACCAAAAGCATTGTGTCTTCTCAGCCTTTTACAGTCCTTTAAGTCCCTTCATGTTTTCCTGATTTCACACACCCTAGTTTGGCACAGCTTCCTTAAATAATCTATACTTAGATTTATTTGCTCAACCATCACTTTATAAGATTGAGTGGAAAAGTATAGTTTTGAAAAATCCTACTGAGAATAAGAAACACAATTTAAGGGGCGCCTGGGGGGCTCAGTGGGTTAAAGTCTCTGCCTTCGGCTCAGGTCATGATCCCAGGGTCCTGGGATCAAGCCCCGCATCTGGCTCTCTGCTCTGTGGGGAGCCTGCTTCCTCCTCTCTCTCTGCCCTGCCTCTCTGCCTACTTGTGATCTCTGTCTGTCAAATAAATAAATAAATAAATAAATAAATCTTAAGGAAAAAAAAAAAAGAAAGAAAGAAACACAATTTAAAAAAATTAAACAGAAGAATCTTTACATTTTCCATTTAAGTGTTTCACCTTTTATTTGGGGCAGGTAACCTGTTGGGTTAGCCAACAGCATGAATCTAATAAGAAAGGCTCTTTTGCAAAGAGGGCAGTGCCACCAGCCTAAATCCAGAGAATGATCCTTCAGCTACTGGCCATGTCCAGAAGGCCAAATTTGACTGTCATTTTAAAGAGCTTGTAAAAGAATGACATTTACAGTTTAAAGAATGGCTCCACATTAAGAAGTATATACACTATCTCACTACTATTTTTATGCAGATTTGGGGACTTTTTTTAGTAACTGACTGTTATCTTAAGAGCTGACAGCCCACTGTTCAAACCAAAAAATATGGAAATTTTAAAGTCACAATCAGATACACACAGGAGTCCACTCGATTATGTCTGACATGAGCCAATACCAAATACCTCTATTCCTTCTAAAGAAGCAACGTAACACAGAACAAACACAGGTTTTGTAGTCACAGGCCAACGTTGAAATCTGGCTTTATCACTTAGTTACTATGACAAAGCTGCTTTATCACTTAGTAACTATGACAAAGCTAGACAAGGTTTGGTAAGTGACTGAACACAGTGACCTTCACTTTCCTCCTCAGTAAGAACGGGACTGTAACAACTACTTCACAGAACTGTTGTGAGGATTCAATTAGGCAACTTATTTAAAGTGCCTCACTTAGTGCCTGAAACAGAATAGTGTAGGCACCTCAAAAGTGTTTGAATAAATACTAAAAACACCTTTATTAACAATTAGTATCAACAGTGACACAAATTGAGAGCAGCAGATGATGCTTCATTTTGTGCTACCCTTTTTTTTAATAAAATATTTAAATGTCATTGTTATTATTCTTCTTAAGCCTTTAACCATGTTGGTAATAGAGTATAAAATCATATCTCTTACACAGCATCCACTTTTTTTTTTTTTTAAGATTTTATTTATTTATTTGACAGACAGAGATCACAAGTAGGCAGAGAGGCAGGCAGAGAGAGGAAGGAAAGAAGGTTCCCTGCTGAGCAGAGAGCCCGATGCGGGGCTTGATCCCAGGACCCCGGGATCACGACCTGAGCTAAAAGCAGAGGCTTTAACCCACTGAGCCACCCAGGCACCCCAGCATCCACTATCTTTCAATGAAAGACATGATGGATACCACTACTGCATTCTATATTGTTTACTGTCAGCATTTTTCTTGTTCTATCTTCTCAGCTATTCTACAAATGTCTCCATCAACCAAAGTTTTCCTTTGCATCAGTAAAAACTCACCTAAAAATGATGTTCGTGTGTGAACTGATGTTTTTGCCTCCATACATAGTAATGATCCAGGCAGGCCTCGGTCTTACACTCCACTGTTTAAAACAGTCATCAGAAAATTCCCTCAAGTTCCATGCGTGAGGTTCAAACATGTCATCAATACCATTAGTACAAAAAGGCATGATCATTTCTGTGCAGGCCTATAAAAGGAAACCAAAAGAGAATCCAGTCAGAAAATGAGGCACAGAGTTAAATAAATTACCCAAAGTCATACAGTGAATAGTAGCAAAGCTAGAACTTGAACTCAGGCAGTCTGGCTTCAGAGTAACCGCTCTTTACTCTGTTAAACCATCTTTTGTTATTCCTGGAAAGGCCCAGCTAAGAAGTTACAAAAGTTAGGGCTATATATTCTTCCTTTGTAAACTGCTTTCTTTCACATCTTTTATCATAATTAATCATCAAAACAACTCTGGAGGGAATGTATTATTATTAGTCTCATACAGATTAAGGAATGGAGGTTGAGAGAGTGTCAAGTTAGACTGCCCTTCTTTTCTGTACCCATAAAATGCTTCTTTATAGGACTTATAAAGATCTATTGTAACATAAGTATCTTTTTTCACTGAGCTATATTTGAAGCAGAGATCATGTCCTATTTATCTCTGTGTGTGTGCAGCCTAGAGTGCTGTCTGACATGCGTAAGTACGCAGAATATATTTTGTGATGATTAAATACAGGAAGGAAGGAACGAATGAACGAACAAACTTATCCATGGCTCACAGTGTAAGATAATGGAGCCCAGATTTGGATCCAGGTCAGTGACAAAATCTTGTGAACTCTGTTACAGTACAACGATATCAGTGAAAAGTAAGTTCCACTTGAGGAAATGATACACGCTTACCTGATAGCTCCAACCCTGGGTTCCCAGATTGCTAGTTGTTGTCTCTGATATATTCAGGCAACTCGCCTGGCCTGAATAATTATAATAGACATTCAGAGCTTGGAAAATATTCTGCAGAAGCTGTGCATCAGATACACTGGGATTTTTCAAATACTGGCACACTACCTGTCATTTTAAAGAAATGTAAAGGAAAAAGAGTCAATATATTTATAAAATCGTAATTTTTAATGAAAAAAGAATAGGATTTTCATTTGTCTATAAAACAATCTTAAAAATCTAATAGCACTGCTTGATAGTTTTCATCTCGAGTATAATCCCATTCATAAATGAATAAACCATTAATTTCCAAGTATAAAATTTAAATTATTCTCTTAGCTACAGAAATAAACCAAAGTCATTTGTATGGTATGCAAAGTCCTCCACATCTACCACTGTAGGCTCATCCTTTCTTCCAATCTAGCAAAACCATTCCCATCACACCAGGCTCTTTCTCTCCCCTTTGCCTTTACTGACCCTGAAATACCCTTTCCCACTCTCCCACTCCATTAATGTCTGGCAAACATCAATTCATTTTCTATGATATTTAGCTCAAGTATCACCTCCTCTGTAAGGCCATCATTAGCTACCGCCTCAAGTCGGGAAGAACTAAATACCCGCTTTGTGCTTCTACTTATGCCCTACAGCAGAGCCCCTATAACACTGCACTGTACTCATGTAATTCCAGAACATCTCACTCAGCACTTAGCAAAGTATCTGACAACTAAATGCTAGCTGAATGAGTAAGCACATTTTTATGAAACTACAAAATTTATAAAATTTCTTATGGAAAAACTATACCAACCTCCAACATCTGTGGTATGGTAAAAAGCATATTAGACAATAATCCAGCTTCTAAATATTCCTATCACTAGACTATAATCAGCATCTGAAGTTCTAGTTTTTTTTTTTTTTTTAAGATTTTATTTATTTATTTGACAGAGAGAGATCACAAGCAGGCAGAGAGAGAGGAGGAAGCAGGCTCCCTGCTGAGCAGAGAGAGCCCGATGCGGGGCTCAATCCGAGGACCCTGGGATCATGACCCGAGCCGAACGAAGGCAGAGGCTTTAACCCACTGAGCCACCCAGGCACCCCATGAAATTCTAGTATTAAAAATCATAGACAAGGGGTGCCTGGGTGGCTCAGTGGGATAAAGCCTCTGCCTTCAGCTCAGGTCATGATCCCAGGGTCCTCGGATTGAGCCCCGCATCGGGCTCTCTGCTCAGCAGGGAACCTGCTTCCCCCTCTCTCTCTGCCTGCCTCTCTGCCTACTTGTGATCTCTGTCTGTCATATAAATAAATAAAATCTTTAAAAAAAAATCATAGACAATACTTGGGGTGAGGAGTAAAAGCATGAGTGACTAGACAGTGGCATGGGGAATTTTCAGGGGTAGGGAAATATTCCATATCTCCACAGAGGTCTGGGTTATACAGCAAACAGTTCATTGGCAATCTGTGTAATTCACAGTACATAAATTTTATCTAAAAAAAATCATAAACAAATCCTGAAGTCCCATTAATAATGATAAAGGTGAAATGTTCAAAAGAAGTATACTGATATCTGCAACTTACCTTGAAATGCATTTTAAAAATAAAATGGAATAAAGAATAGAAGGATGGTTAGGCAAATATGTATGTGTAAAATCAAATACAGCAAAATACTTTTCTAGAATTTAGGTGTCATTTTTATGGGTGTTCACTGTCCAATTATTTTAATGTTTCTACATTTGTAATTCTTCACAATAAACTGTGGGGGAAAATCACAGGCAATGGAATCACAGAAAAAAAAAACAACCATAACTACTAATTACTGAGTTATAGGTTTACAACCATTATATCATATAGTCCTCAAACAATCTTATCAGATATATTATCATCCACTATTTTATATAGAGAAACTGAATCTTAAGTCCCTTATTCGAGGTTACTCAGCTAGTAAATGTTAAGATCTAGATACAACCCCAGATCTCTCTAGTTATAAAATACAGGTCTTATCCATCAAGCTACACAGCTTAAAAAAGCATCCCTTGTAAAACCGCAAATAGCCACAATGGCAAGGAAAACACACTCAGTAAGCTTTCATCCTCTATTAACACCTTGACATGAAGTCAGTGATTTGTTCCTTTCTCATTTTATATGGAAAAAATGTATATAGCAGGCAAGTTCTGTTCAAAAGAGATAGACACATCCAGAGAAGAAAGAGCCAAGAAAGAAAGAGTCTAGTTACTCTACTTCGGGGATAGGCTCGGGGCAGCAGAAGCCACAAGGCCTGGGCTCGGGATATGCACCCACTCAGAAAAGGAGGCCACTGAGAAAGGAAGTAAACAGCAAAAAGCAAACCTAGCCTCTAATCAGTTTTGCTTAGGACTAGTTTCCAGCAACACCTTTCTCATAAAAAAGGGAAACGTGAAAAGGCGGAAGAAATGAATCAGGGAAAATTCAATGTCTATGGAATTCTATGGAATGGACCTGTGGAACGCATAGAAGAGCACTAAGGTCAAGCATATAGCTCAATAGATGAGACAGGGTGACAATGTAAGCTGGGCAGGAGGAAAAGTGAGTGCTGATGAGCAACAACAAAGAAGTAGCCTAAAACTCGAAAAGAACAGTAGCAAGTTAAGTGTGACTCACACGCTGGCATCAGATCCCCTCTCGGAGCTAGAACACTGGCCCTCTGTCAGGCAAAGAAAAGGAGTACCCGTGAATAGCCATCTCTGCCAATAGCAGTTACTGTCACTCCTTAAAAGACACAAGCATGGCTGGGGACTGGCACCAGCTGACAATACTTGGGTTTCGGCAGTCCAGTTACACAAAGAGAACATCCTGGTCAGAAACTTGGCATCTAATAGAAATTCCATGTCCAGATTAAGGCCACTCCTGGGTCCACTGTCCTCTTTGAGGTCAAGGCTCCTTTGGAGTACTGGGTCCAGTTCTGAGCACCACACTTTAAAGACAATGACCAAAGGAGCAATCAGGATGGGGAGTTGAGGAAAAGTTGAAGCAATCCTACAATTGCTCATTTGTATCATTCCCAATCTTTTACACTACAAAGGCTACAATAAATAAACCTGAGGCTAAATCTTTACATATATCCTTAACTGTTTTCTTGAGATAACTGATTCAAAGGAAATAAACATTTTTTTAAAAGATTTTATTTATTTATCTGAGAGAGCAAGAGAGAGCAGGAGCAGTGGGGAAGGGCAGAGGGAGAGGGAGAAGCAGGCGTCCTGCTGAGCAGGGAGCCCACGTGGTGGGGTTCAAACCTAGGACCCTAGGATCATGACCTAAGCTGAAGGCAGATGCTTAACCGACTAAGCCACCCAGGTGCCCCAGGAAATAAATACTTTTAAGGCCTTTGCTACATCCTGTCAAATTGCGTTACAGAAAGAAAGTACCAATTTATAATTCTACTGGTATACCAGATAACAGAAGGCCTAAAAAAAAAATCACTTAAATTTTTTTTTGTAAAATACTTACAAATTTACTAAGAGAATTGTATTATTTTACTGTTCCTAAAGTTCCTTTCTAGCTCAAAACTTCTATAAGTCTAAGTATCATCCTCTAGCATAAAGAACACAATCTCTACATATCTCTATGTACTTTCTTAACAATTATGGTGGTAAAGAGAGAAATTTTCAAAAAAAATACTGAAGTTATACTAGCAAAACCTCAGCACTATTTCCATGCTTAGTCAAAAGAAGATAATCATGGGGTGCCTGGGTGGCTCACTCAGTCAGTTAAGTGTCTGACTCTTGATTTCAGCTCATGTCATGATCTTGGGGTTGTAGAATTGAGCCCTGTTTGGGCTCCACACTCAGCACAGAGTCTGCTTGTTCTTCTCCCTCTGCTCCTCTCCCCCACCCTGCTCATACAAGCACTCTGTCTTTCTCTGTCTCTCTCTTCCTCTATTCTTAAATAAATAAAATTCAAAAATAAGACACGAATAAAAAAGAATAAAAGGAGATAATCAGGGGCACCTGGGTGGCTCAGTGGGTTAAGCCTCTGCCTTCAGCTCAGGTCATGATCTCAGAGTCCTGGGATCCAGCCCTGCATCCAGCTCTCTGCTCAACGGGGACCCTGCTTCCCCCCTCTCTCTGCCTGCCTCTCTATTTGTGATCTCTCTCTCTGTCAAATACATACATAAAATCTTAAAAAAAAAAAAGAAAAGAAAAAGAGATAATCACGTACTTTTATTAAAAATCCACAGAATGCACAAAACACTTATGTAAATGTTAAGTTGGATCCACATGAAACTGCCATGTTTGTAAGTCAAAGGTGGTCAAGCTATCAGCTTCTTTGGTTCAACCTCATCTAATACCCACTTCACCTTAAGCCTGATAATTTGCAGTTATTATCCAACTGACTATTTATTTAGGGGCTATGATCTACTCAGACAACAAGGTAAGAGTCCCTGCCAATCACTTTCATTCAGAATACTCACCACCCATTATAGCCTCTGTACTGTACTTCCTACTAATTTCATGGACACTATCAAACTAGCTTCTTCCAAACAATTTCTATATAAGGTATAGCATTTCTACTTGTGCCATAAATTCACTGATACGAGAACATCTGGGACTGAGGCTGCTAGTACAACTACCGAATATTCCTCGAGGTCAGGTACTTTCTCTACAATGGCCCAGGGTAAAACACAAGGCCATCCCCATATCACAGAGGAGAAAATAAGCAGGGAGAGGTCTGGCTACAGACATACAATTTTAGTAGTCTGAACCCAGACTCTGGCGACAAAGTCCTGGGATAACACTGTCCCTCTATTATTATGTAACAACAATAATAGTTACTATTATATAACTAGTATCAACTTTAGTGCTTACTATACATGGGGTTCTATTAAATTCTCATAATGACCCTAATAAGCATTACAAATATGATATCCCCACTTTGCCAATGAGGAAACTAAAGCACAGAGAGGCTAAGAAACTTGCCCAAAGTCATACAGCCAGGAAGTGGCAGAGCTGGAATTCAAACGGAAGACACACTCTGGAGCTTCCATTTGTAATAACCAACACTACGCATACTCAACCTCAAAGTTTTAGTGCAAGAGAAAAATAACAACACAAACAGTGCCTAAATATACCTGTAGTCTCACGCTTAATTTTTTAAGCAATTTTTTTTATTCTTAGATTATCTTTATATTTTTCTAAGTTTATCTGTCTTAGGTAAAAATTTTAATAAAAGGGATTCAATATAAAAATAAAATATATAATATATATTTTATTATATAAATTTTATATATATATATATTTCTAAATATTTTATTTATTTGACAGAGAGAAATCACAACTAGGCAGAAAGGCAGGCTCCCTGTGGAGCAGAGAGCCCGATGCGGGGCTCGATCCCAGGACCCCGAGATCATGACCTGAGCCGAATGTAGAGGCCCAACCCACTGAGCCACCCAATCGCCCCTAAATTTTATATTTATATAAAAATCATACAAATTTTGGGGGGCGCCTGGGTGGCTCAGTCAGTTAGGTGGCTGTCTTCGGCTCAGGTCATGATCCCAGGACCCTGGGATCGACTCCATGTCAGGCTCCCTGCTCAGTGGGGAACCTGCTTCTCCCTCTCCCTCTGCCTGCTGCTCCCCCTACTTGTGCTCTCTCTGTAATAAATAAATAAAATCTTAAAAAAAAAAATCACACTTTTTTATTATGCAACAAAGAAAACTGTAAAATAGTAATTAATATGAGGCTCAACAATCAACATACGAAATACTTAATTTACCTTCTATTTCCTAGAGCAAAAGTGAACGTACAGGGAAAAAAAATTTAAAAAGAGCATTACACATTTTAATTATGGCTTTAAAGAGTGTAGAAACAGAACATTTCTATCTTAGTACCAAACTAATTAGCTCTGCACCCAAATATTTAGATTTGCTCTTTGACCCCACATACACCAGAGAAAGTAAAGATAATGATCTGTTTCAAAGCTTTACGTGTCCCTTTACCTATAAGGATAAGCATTTGAATAAGAGAAAGAAAAAGGGGGCAAAGAAGTTTTTTTTAAAAGAAGGAAAGAAGATAGGTTAAAAAAAAAAAAAAGACCAACCTCCTCTCAGAAAGTATGGTCCATCCACATTAGAGAAAGGATTAAGCAGATACATTCAGCTTTTCTAACAGATTTTCTTTCTCTAAGGTTTCAATACCCCTCTCACACTCACAGATAATCACATTAGTTTTGTCATTAAAAGCTCTCCTTTCATAGAATGCACCTAAACCGCTTAAACCACCCAGAGAGGTCGAATACATTATCAAACACCAAGACAAACGGAAGAAATTCTCCATTTTATGTCTTATTATTTCACTATATCTATCTGCATGCTCAGAAGGCTAAGCCAAGAGATGTGGTGAGTTATCAGCTAAAAACTTATTCAAAATAAATAACCTCTATAGTATCCTTAAACACTGCTCTTTAAGCTGAGAAGAGGTCTAGTAGTTTTTATGCCGACGGAGCAGTCAAATGACAGAGAGGTTTTCTATTTCCCTTTTCTCTTCTTGTGTTCCCTCAGCCAAGTCCATGATTATTTCTGCATGAATGTTGCAGCTTCTGTTAACAGTAAACAAAAGCAAATGGAGTCTGAGTGTACAGAGCCCACAAACAAATTAAAAAGAACGATACTTGAGTTGACATGGAAAGGACATTCAATCACTGCCTATGGATCCTTCAGAACCATACAAGGTCCAGGCAGAATTGGAAATCACCTACTTTTTTTCATAACCCAACTGTTACACATCATCTCACTATCCTAAGCCTGAGTTACAGACTTAGAAAAGGACGGCTGTTTGTCAGCCCTTTAAAAAGGAGGAAGTGTATCAGAGGGAGGAGGAGTCCTGGTTAAATGGAACTATCCAAGTGAAAGAGCAGTCCCCAACTGGGTAGTGTTCCTGGGATTAGTGGGTTGGGAGAACAGAGAGGAGGTCAAGAAAGGAGAAATAGAATGAACAGTGAAAGAAAGTGATATAAAGCTAAAAGTCTGGGAGGGAGACATGTAGTAGAAATACTCTGAAATCATATAGGATAAAACTGGAATTAGGGCAATGGAAATTTCTCAAGCAGAAATTTCTTTTGGTTGGTGTGCAGGCAAGAAACAGAATCATAAATATATTATAAGCAATCAAGAATTTCTTAATATGCCAAAAAGATAAAACTGTAAGAAGTAACTGAAAAGAATGACAAGAAGTAGTCCTGAAGAAAAACAAAAGGTGATTGTAGGGCAAAGACCCAAGTTACCTTGTCTTAAAAATAAACTTTTATAATGTATATGCACTAAAGATAAAAGAACTGTGCTAGATCAAAAACAGAATGCAAAATATCTCAGATACACTCCACTAACTTTGAGTGAATATTTAAGAGAAAGAAAGGATAGACATTTATTTACATTTAAAGATGCAACAGCAAAGTACCTCAAAAGGAACATTAAAGAAATGGGTAGAGAAGCAAAGTTAGTGTTCCTTGTTCTAAATCATAAAAAAATGAACACTAAAAAGCCATATTCCTCTGGTTTTTTTCTAGATCAGGGGTTGGCATACTAAAGCCCACAGGCCAAATCCAGGCTACTGCCTGTTTTATAAATAAAGTATTTTTGTGACACTGGCTACTTTCTTGCTACAGCTGCAGAACTGAATAACTGCAGCAGAAATTGAATGGCCCATAAAACATAAAATACTTACTATCTAGTTCTTTACAAATAAAGTTTGTCAACTTTTGTTATAAATAACAAGGGAATTCCCCATGCGTTTTTATCACCTGACAACTCATTTGTTCTTCAAGTGGGCATAAAAATGCAAAAGTAATTATCACTTTGTAAAGAGAATACAGTTAAATCTGATAGTTGTCACAGTGCAGCTAGTGATCCACCCAAAACTTCAGCCAAATCCTCTCCTCATGCAGTGCAATATGGTAGAAGATCAGAGGTTCTGAACAATGGTAGACCCAAGCTCAAATCCCACTTTCACCATCTTCACTGAGCTTAAATTTCCTCTTTATAAAAACTCCATAAATTTCCTCTCCATTGTACCTCTTTATCATATACAAGGGGATTAAATGGGATAGCATATATCAAAGTGTTCTGCAACAGTAAAATAATACAGATAAGGCCTTATTAGCACAAAGACATATATGGAGGCTAACTGACTCGAATTTAGTTTTTTCTCATTATTTTGATCCAGGTTTTCTTACCATGAGAGAGACAGCTCTTTTAAATATTTCTGTATTATCTAAATTCAATTTAATTCAATACACATTTACCTCTGGCCTGTATGTGCAAGACATCCAATTGTCATTCTACTTTTTAGATGAAGAAAAATATCTCTAATAGCAAATGACCTTGTTCCATTTGGGTTATAAAGTTTTAAGCAAAATGTTCATTTAATATTAAATTCAAAGGGACTGTTAAATTAAAAGTGCTTTTGAAAACTGGTTCTCATATTATCAAGTCTATTTACATTTCTGGCACTCATTCCAGCTGCAGAATCAGTTATATTCTCTAAACTTAACCATTAAGTTGGCCAAACTTGGATTTTAAAACTAAGAATGTTCTTTACAAAGAAATGCTTAAAAGGAGATACATAATAAAGCATTTTGCCATATAAAGAAACTAAACATTTATGATGTAAGGTGTCTTTACACTTTCCAGAGTGTTTTCACATCTAATATTTTATTTGATCCTGAGCATAACCCTACAGAGAACTAAGTATAATTATTTCATTTTGCATAGGAAGATGTGGAGGTTCAGAAGAAGATAGCCTCACCCAAGATCACACAGCTGGTAAATGGTAGTTTCTAGATCAAGGATCCAGAGTCAGTACTCTTTCCACTCCACCTGCTGCATGGAGAGCACTCCTTTGTGATAAATGTGTAGCGCTCAGAACACATTAGCAGTTGACTGAATCATAGCACTGTGAGAGCATTTGCCATTTATTAATCACTAACCATATACGGCACAGGTCTACCTGTCTCACATACATCACAAAGATGTAATAAGTAAATTGTCCATGCAAAGTGTTCAGCACAAGACACGGCACACAGTAATCACTCCATTAGCAGCAATTACTGGTATTAGTTTTAATTCATACAACTCTATAATCTATTCATTTTGTCTTCTTTATTCAAATGAGAGGAAACTGATGTTCAGAAGTGTTAGATAAGGGACGCCTGGGTGGTGCAGTTGGTTAAGTCACGGACTCTTTGTTTGGGCTCAGGCTCTACATTCAGTACAGAGTCTGCTTAAGACTCTCTTTCCTGGGGCACCTGGTTGGCTCAGTCATTAAGTGTTTGCTTTTGTCTCAATTCATAATGCCAGGGTCTTGGGATCAAGCCCCACATGGGGCTCCCTGATCGGCGGGAAGCCTGCTTCTCCCTCTCTCACTCCCCCTGCTTGTGTTCTCTCTGTTGATGTGTATCTCTCTGTCAAATAAATAAATAAAATCTTAACAAAAGAAGAAGAAGACTTGTCTTTAACAACAACAACAACAAAATGACTCTTTTCTTCTCCCTCCACCTGTTGCTAAATAATAAGATAAATAAATAAAAATAAATAAATAAATCTTAAAAAAAAAGGAAAAAAAGAAAAGTCAGGTAGATGTCCAAGTGAGTAACCAGAAAGTGACAGAAGTCAGGATTTCTGCCCAGGTTAGTCAAACCGAGTCCCTTTGTCACTGGAGATTCCTTTAATGCTAAAAGTCACAGAAAGCACCAGTTTAAAAAACAAAACAAAATCCTGAGACTAATAATACACTATATGTTAATTAACTTGAATATAAATTACAAAAAAAGAAAGATGCTTTCTATAAACAAAAAGAAAGAGAGAGAGACAGAAGTTCGTATTAAAAGTGATGAAAGGACATTTTTCTGTTACCTTTATAGGCCAAGCAGGCAAAGGCTGTAAAAAGTCACACTCATAAGGGTAGTCCACCATTGCCAGATTTATCCAGGTTTCAGAGAGCCAGGCTTTCAAATGCTGGACATCCTGAGCATTTGTTAATGCGGTACATAAGTCAAGGGCTTCAGAAAGCCAACGCAAGCCAGCACCTGAGAAGAGAATCACATTGTTGGGAACCTAAAAAGCACTATTTGACAGAACGCTTTACTCAATACTCCAGAAAATTCAATATTCTATACCATTTCTCCAAGAATGCTTTTTCAACATTCAATAAAATATTTTTAAGCATCTGGATAATCCCATGATAAACAGGTTGTCTATCCTCATGGAGTTTGCCAGAAATTATATGAATTATTCCCTGTTTTAAAGATACGATTGAGGTTAAGTAAATAAATAAACAAATGGAACACTAGAGAGCAATCAGTGTAAACCCCAACAAGTAAAATAAATGGAAGTATCTGAATAGTGTCAAGCAAAAAACAGCAGACACAAAACATACATACTATGTTCCTGATTATACTGGATGATGAGTAAACTATTATACCATACCGATTATGTTTTCCCTTGTGAAAATTCATCAAGTGATGTATTTTGATTTGTGTATGTTTTTGTATGTTTTACCTAAGTAAAAATGTTACTGAAAAACTGAGAAGTGTTGAAATTAACAAGTGAAAGGTAAAAAACTCTGTGATTCCATTCTATTAATTAAAGCTTACCTGTTCTTGAGAATCGATTAATAGCATCCCAGGAGCTACGGATGGTTTCTGAACAATTTGGACCACCTCTCTTAAAATCTTTAGTTACAATCTCCATAAACACACCACAAGGTACCAGATTACCAAAATGCCAAATGGGGGCGGAGGCTGCAAGAGCTCTAAATGGTGAGAAAAATGAGAAAGGAGAAAAGAAAAAAAAAATGCAACTTACTGAATTAAAGTTCTGAAATTGAAACTGATACTGAACAAAAATGGTGAGAAAACATTACAGCTGTTAATGAGATATAAAGTAGAAATATCAGTACAATAGAACTTGTTTTACCCAAAACAAATCTCTAAGTATGCTTGACAACCATTAAGAAGTGCTCATGTCCAACATAAATGCATTTACCCAACCACTATATGAGGATATTTCATCCTGAACCAGGCTGCAAGCATGCCACCGTAAGAGCCCCCTATGGCAATGACAGGTTGATTTTTAGCTCCTGGGATTGTTTTTTTCAAGTGTTTGATTAACACTGCAAAATCAGCCAGAGCTTGTTCCGATGTCAGAAAATTCAAGTGTCTGGAATCCTAAAGAAAAGTAACAAAGAACAAATATAAATGTGCACATAATAGCAGCTTAGGCATAGCATAGATCCAAGAAAAAAGCCAGTCAGGTAAGCTTTTCTCCAAACAGAATTTCTAAGCAATTGAGTTAAAATGCCCAGTCAACATAAGAGCAATGCTGATTTAAACAAATCATTAAAACAATGATTTTAAGTTTGTGTGACAAACATATTTTGCATTCAAATGTAATTTCTATTAAATGCTATTTACCAAAGATCTTGTTGAGGTTGTAGAAATAACAGAAACAAACTCTAACTTTTAACAGCAATTGTGACAGAATACAATTTTCAGCTTAACAGATAATTGCTGTATTATAATTTTTATTTTAAAACTTGAAACATTTAAAATGGCTACCATACAGGCAAAAGTAGACTGAATCCTGTGAAATACTGAAGTATCATCAATAAAAATAAATCTTACCCTCCCTAGTAAGAAAGAAAATAATGCCTGATATGCCAACAACCAGAAATTACCCTGTTGTAAACAATATAAAATTAGAGTTAAAAACAAAAACCAATAGAGCAACTATATTCAGGCATTGGAAAACCAGCAACACAAGACATTGATCCCTGAGAGAAGGATACTCAAAAAGTAAGTTCCATAATCATCTGATTCTCTGCCTAGAGACAACTGCCTCACTTTAACATAGGGAAGTAGAGCTCAGAGTCCTGCTAAGCTGAGGAGGCTAATAAAGTATCTCCCTTTAAAAGATAAGTCCTCTCTTTGAACTTGTACTGGACTTAGTGATTTGGTTCTAACCAATAAAATGTAACAGAAGCGATATGTGACTTCCAAAGTTAACTCATAATAAGCACTGCAGTTTCCACCTTGCTCCATTAGATTACCAACTTTGAGGGAAGCCAGCTGCCTTGTCATGAGGCCACTGAACTAAGCCTTTGCAGGAAGAGACAAATTGTAGCCTCTGGCTAACACCCAGCAACATTTTATCACTCATGTGGATTCTCCCTATAGTGGAGAGGGTTCTCTGGCACCAGTCAAGCCTTCAGATAATTGTTAGCACCAACTGACATCTCAACCTCATGAGACCCCTTAAAAAAGAACCTCCTAGCTGAGCCACTTTTAATTTCTTACCCACAGGAGCATGAGACAATAAATGTTTACTGCTGTTTTAAATCACTAAGGTTTTTGTTTTTGTTTTTTTAAGATTATTTATTTATTTATTTGACAGAGATCACAAGTAGGCAGAGAGGCAGGCAGGGGTGGTGGGGGAAGCAGGCTCCCTGAAGAGCAGAGAGCCTGATGCGGGGCTCGATCCCAGGACCCTGAGATCATGACCTGAGCCGAAGGCAGAGGCTCAACCCACTGAGCCACCCAGGCGCCCCTCAATCACTAAGGTTTAAGGTAAATTGTTACATAGCAATAGGTAACTAGTACAGCTATATACTGATTAGGCTGTCTTACTTGATCTTCATGCTTTGGTCTCACCTCTCTGTTAGACTCCTTCCATCATTTGGCAAAGTCTGAAACCACATAGTTCCCATCTTTCCTATGTATGTCACCTACTCCTTTAGCCTTCCCCCTTATCCAAGATGTATACCTTCTGACCTCTTACCTCCTTGCTTATTGTCTGTCATTAGTCTTTTACTTCCAGTTTTCATGGCATTATGTATAGCTGAGTGCGATTTTTTTCTAATCCTTGCATAATATTTGTAATATTATCCCCCAAGCTACTGACAAATTCTGTGAGCACATGAAGAGAAAGAAGCATATCGAAGAAGAGCCCTCTGCTCCTTTTTGCTAACAAAGCATGAAAGAAGGGATCTAGAAGAGGATATTACATTTCTGTCTGCAACAAGGGGACTACTTCTCAATGGTTTCAGGATCTATCAACTCTCCTAATCAGATAATTATGCAGAATAGTAAGCTAAAGAATAGAGTTTCTCATGCAGCCCAACAAATATCAGCAAATTGTTCTGCTTTTCATTTTTCACATTTTATTTAATTATAATGAGGTAATAAAACCTCTGAGAACAAAAATTAAAACTCCTTTCAAAATAGGCAGCCAGAAAATTACTGTCCCTGAGTTCTTCTAACTCAGAGTTCCCCAAAAGGATGGTATGTGTATACTGGTAGTATGAATGATGGTCTTAGATAATACACAGTCTTTCTTTTTTTTTTTTTTTTCTTTGTTTAAAAATTTTTATTTATTTATTTGACAGAGAGAGATCATAAGTAGACAGAGAGGCAGGCAGAGAGAGAGAGGGAAGCAGGCTCCCTGCTGAGCAGAGAGCCCGATGCGGGACTCGATCCCAGGACCCCGAGATCATGACCTGAGCCGAAGGCAGCGGCTTAACCCACTGAGCCACCCAGGCGCCCAATACACAGTCTTTCTTAATTTAATATTGTTTTAATGTCATTTAGAAAAAAAACCATGTAACTAGTATATAAAGCCCTTGTTAAGGTAATGTAAAGTTTGAAAAGTTAGTTGTTTAAAGAAAAATATTGTGTAAATAATAGTGCAGATCGCAACCATACACTCAGAATCACAAAGGTAGTACATGAGTGACTTAGATGCAGAAAATGTTTCCTTTTTATTAGGTGTACAGTCTGTGGTCAAGGCCAAAGCTCCTTGTGAGATCAGGAAAGGCCAGAAGGGAATCCAAGTGGCCCATTGGACTCACTGAAAACAGGGATTATTTGTCCTCATTTTATTGAAAAATACCTATTAAACAATTGAGTGCTCACTGTATTTTTTCCAGGGGTAGACTCAGGAATTTAAGTGTATAATATATAAACCAGAATTACTTACTGACATTTTTGCAACACTGAGAAGTTCCCTTCAAAGTCTCTGCAGCAATACATTAGGATTTCTCTAGTGAGAGCTAACCTCATCACACTGAGTTAAAGACTGACCAACACTATAAATGATAATATTATGGCTTTAAAAAGGCTTAATTTGTTCAATTGCATATAAAAAGGAAAGATTATATACAAATTTTTGAAATTTCAAGCTGTTCAAGTTAAAGCTATCATTTCTTTCTTACATGTTATTAGAACATGTAATATCCTAAACTTCAAAAAAAAAAGTTTTAAACTTAAAAATAAAAAGTATACAGGCACACCTCAGAGATCTTGCAGGTTCAGTTCCAGACCACTTCAATAAAGTGGATATCGCAATAAAGCAAGTCAAACTACTATTTTGATTTCCTAGTGCACATAAAGTTATGTTTACACTATACTGTAGTCTAGTAAGCGTGCATTAGTATTATTTAAAAAAAGATGTACATACTTAATTTTAAGATACTTCATTGATAAAAAATCCTAACCATCATCTGAGCTTTCTGAGCTTTCATCTTTTTACCAGTGGAGGATCATGCCTAAATGATGATGGCTGCCAACTGGTCAGGGGGGCAGTTGCTGAAGGCTAGGGTGGCTGTGGCAATGCCTTTTTTTTTTTTTTTTTAAGATTTTATTTATTTATTTGACAGAGAGAGATCACAGGTAGGCAGAGAAGCAGGCAGAGAGAGAGAGAGAGGAGGAAGCAGGCTCCCTATCAAGCAGAGAGCCTGATGCGGGACTTGATCCCAGGACCCTGAGATCATGACCAGAGCCGAAGGCAGAGGCTTAACCCACTGAGCCACCCAGGCGCCCTGTGGCAATGTCTTAAAATAAAACAACAATAGGGACGCCTGGGTGGCTCAGTTGGTTAAGCAGCTGCCTTCGGCTCAGGTCATGATCCCAGCGTCCTGGGATCGAGTCCCACATCGGGCTCCTTGCTCCTCAGGGAGCCTGCTTCTCCCTCTGCGTCTGCCTGCCATTCTGTCTGCCTGTGCTCGCTCGCTCTCTCTGACAAATAAATAAATAAAATCTTTAAAAAAAAAACAAACAAACAACAATAAAGTCTGCCACACTGATTGATTTTTCCTTTCATGAATGCTTTCTCTGTAGCTTGTGATTCTGTTCAATAGTACTTAATCCACAGGAGAACTTCTTTCAAACTTGGAAATCAGTCCTCTCAAACCCTATAGCTGTTTTACCAAGTTAAGTTTTTATAATTTTCTACATGCATTGTTGTTATTTCAACAATCTTCATAGCATCTTCACCAGCAGTAGATTCCATCTTCAGAAACCACTTTCTTTGCTCAACCATGAGAAGCAACTCTTCATCTATTCAAATTTTATCATGAGATTGGAGCATTTCAGTCACATCTTAAGGCTACACTTGTAATTCTAGTTCTCTTGCTGTTTCTACCACATTTGCAGTTACATCCTCCACTGAAGTCTTCAGCCCCTCACAGTTATACACAAGGGCTGAAATCTATTTCTTTCAAACTCCAGTTCATGTTGATTATTTTGACCTCTTCACATAAACCCTAAATATCCTTTAAGGCATCTAGAATGGTGAATCTTTTCCAGGAGGTTTTCAACTGACTTTGCCCATATCTATCAGAGGATTCACTCTCTGTGGCAGCTATAGCCTTACGAAATGTATTTCATAAGTAAGATTTGAAATTCAAAATGACTTTTTAAAAAATATTTTATTTATTTATTTGACAGAGAAATCACAAGTAGGCAGAGAGGCAGCTGAGAGGGAGGGGGAAGCAGGCTCCCCACTGAGCAGAGAGCCCGATGTGGGGCTTGATCCCAGGACCCTGGGATCATGACCTGAGCCAAAAGCAGAGGCTTAACTCACTGAGCCACCCAGGCACCCCACAAAATAACTTCCGGATCCATGGGTTGCAGAATGGATGCTGTATTAGGAGACATGAAAACAACCTTCACCGCACTGTACATCTCCATCAGAGCTTTTGGATGACCAGGTGCATTGTCAATGAACAATATTTTGAAAGGAATTTTTTTCTTCCTGAGCAGTAGGTCTCAACAGTGATCTTAAAATATTCAGCAGACTATTTTGTGAACAGATGTGCAGCCATTCAGGCTTTGTTCTTCCATTTATAGAGCACAAACAAAGTAGATACAGCATAATTCCTTAAGGCCCTAGGATATTCAGGATGGTAAATGTGCACTGGCTTCAATTTAAAGTTACCAGCTACACTAACCCCTAATAAGAGAGTCAGGCTGTCCTTTCGAAGATTTGAAGCCAATCATTGACTTCTCCTCTCTAGCAATGAAAAGTCCTAGATGGCATTCTCTTTCAATAGGAAGCTGTTTTGTCTATATTGAAAATCTATGGTTTAATGTAGTTACCTTCATGAATTATCTCAGCTAGATTTTCTGTATAACTTACTGCAACTTCTGTATCAGCACTTACTGCTTCATCTTCACTTTTATGTTATGGAGATGGCTTCTTGCCTTAAAGCTCATGAACCAACCTCTGCTAGCTTCAGACTTTTCCTCTGTAGCTTCCTCACCTTCCTCAGCCTTCATCAAACTGAAGAGAGTTAGGGCCTTGCTCTGGATTAGGCTTTGACTTGAGGGAGTGTTGTGGTTTGTTTGATCTTCTATCCAGACCACTCAAACTTTCTCCATATCAACAACAATGCTGTTTCACTTTTTTGTCAGGTGTATGTTCACTGGAGTAGCACTTTTAATTTCCTTCAAGAATTCTTTCTTTGCATTCACAACCTGGCTGAATGACTGGCACTAGAGGCCTAGCTTTTGGCCTCTCTCACTGTTTTGAACTTTGAACATGCCTTCCTCACTAAGCTTAATCATCTCTAGCTTTCTATTTACAGTGAGAGACATGCAACTCTTCTTTTCTTTTCATTGGAACATTTAGAGGTCATTGCAGGATTATGCAGGATTATTAATTAGCTTATTTCAATATTTTTGTGTCTCAGGGAATAACCAGGCCTGAGGAGACAGAAAGAGATGGAGGACTAGCCACTCGGTAGAGCAGTCAGAACAGATACGTTATTTATCAATTAAGTTTGCCATCTTATGTGAGCATCTTGGACAACTGATCACAGATCACCGTAACAAATATAAAAATAATGAAAAAGTCAAACATATTACAAGAATTGCCAAAATGTATCACAGAGACACAAAAGAAGCAAATGCTATTAGAAAAATGGCACTGATACACTGGCTCAACACAGAGTTGCCACAAACCTTCAATCTGCAAATACCACATGACCTGTGAAGTACAGTAAATGGAAGTACAATAAAACAAGGCACACCTGTACTTACCCTGAATGATTTGTTACCAAAAGGTAGGGACTCTCCATAGTATCGATGTTCTGCAAACACCAACATAGCCTTCAGTTGATCAGCCACATCCCACATGAACCCCTGGGAAGAATTTACAAATATTTTACAGGATAAAAACCAGGATGTGAAAAAAGTCATTGAACCTTTTGGCAACTCCTATGAAACGAATGTTAAACCAGACCAAAAAGAACTCTGAGAAGCTGCATAATTTATGTTTGTTCTACAGATAAAAAATTATTGTTTCATTGTTGCACATCAATCTCATACTGTGTTAGAGTGAAACAATTAAAAATAAGCTCAAGTCACTCAAACACCAGTCATTCCAACTCTCCTTATTCTAACACTCTAGCTGTAGAATCAATATTGTGTTGAAAATAGCCTTCAAATTGCTCTGTGTACCAGTCTAGGAAAGAACTGAGGATGTCTAAGTTAGCTGCCTACTCATAAACATTTACAACATAAAAGAAAAAAAAAACAATAAAAATAAGCATACTGGACTCCCTTGGGTTCCATATTATCTTATTTACTTGAAAATAAGCAGTAGCTAACAAAGGCCAGTAATAGCTGAGTGCTTACAATGCGTCAGGCACTGTTCTAAATACTTCATATATATTAATTCACTTAATTATCACAACAATCTAGGAGATGGGCACTTTTATTATCCCCATTTTAGAGACAAGGACACTGAGACACAGTAGTTTAAATATCCTATGATAGTCAACACAACTAGAAAGTGGCAGAGCCAAGAATTGAACACTGGCTGGCTGGCTTCATAGCACAATCTGCAAGTGCTGTTCGATCTCCTTATGTCCACGCTTAATGCTTGTGATTCATCAATCACTGCATTTTTTTCATTTACCTCAAATGGTGCCCTCAGAATTCTTCTTGACAAAGCACTCTAGGCAGCCAACATCAATCGATTAGATTTAGATTTAGCACAGATTAAAACTATTTGTCATTCCTAGGGCACACTCTTGTTTTTTAATGAACTGCTGCTCCCTATCAACAACTAAGAAATTTCTAAAAGGTTTTGTTCATTTCGATCAATAAATGAACAATTAAAAGATCTGCGCGCATGTGGTGATGGAGAATTTAAACTGTTATCTGTGATGGTTTCAATAATCCTTACTTTCTCTCTTAATACGTTGCCCAGTCCCTGCCATTTATCTGCAGATCCTGTAATAACCAGCTCAAGCATGCTCTCCTCTACCTGCCCCATTGTGGCACTGCTGATCACTCCCGCTTCTCAACACCACCGTGCTAGGCATAGCTCTCTATTACCGTGTTGCAATATTTGCTTATACGTGTGTCTTACCCTACCAGATTAAGAGCTTCTTAAGGGTAAGGATCATCTATCAAAATAGCCACACCTCTGGGGAGCTGACCTCAGGCTTTTAAAGGAAGCAATTTAAGTGAACTGATATGCATTATAATAAGTGATTATTTGCCTGTATCTATTTCAGGGTATTTTTATTTTTCAGAAGAGGTCCATGTAATATATTAACATTTAATAATAGTATAGCATTGTCCTAAGTTCCTAATTCTTATTTAGTCCTTGCAGCAACTCTATGAACCAGATTATTAACATACCCATTTAGCACATAAGAAAACTGAGGCACAGAATAAGAAACTACCCAAAGTCACAAATCATAATGGTAAAACCAGAATTCAATTCTTATCAGTCCTAATCAGTCTATCACTCCTGACATTCTGCTACACTGTCTCTTAATAGATGAATGTCCAGAATATGTGAATATGCAACCAGGACATTTTAGTATGTACAGGGAGGTGTCTAGGGCTGGGAAAAAACTGGGATCCTCCTAAGGATCTACCTTTAGCCCCTTCCTGACCTGCTTCAACACTGCATGGCTCTTCCTCTCTACCACTGCTGAGGCAAGCCTGAAATTATGCTGCAGTGTCTGTCAGAGCAGTGGAGGGAGGAACAGCTGCCTATTTATTAATTCTATAAAGAAAAGGAGGGAGCACACGGGTGGCTCAGTTAAGTGTCTGACTTTTAAAAATTTAAATGTTTTCATTTATTCTTATTTTTAAATTTTTTTAAAGTGTCTGACTCTTGATTTCAGCTGAGGTCATGATCTCAGGGTCATGAGACTGAGCCCCAAGTTGCGCTCTACACTGAATGTGGAGCCTGCTTAAAATTCTCTCTCTCCCACTCTTTCCTCCTACCCTCCCATTTATTCTCTCTCTCAAAAAAAGAAGGAAGAGGAGGAGGAAGTGGGGGAGGAGCTGGAAAAATAACTGGACAGGAGAAGCTGCCCCATGGCCTTGGCATAAATAGGAAGTCACACAAGAGGGGAAAAAAAAAAAAGGTTAAGCAGCCTCAGTTGTTCCATAGAAAAAGCAAGCAGGAATTTGATGGAAAATAAATCTTAACTTCATTTGTCACTGATGTAAGAGAAACATCATCCTAGGATCTCATTTCTCAGGAACTTACTTTATTTTCAACTAACATATTTAGACTCAATATTCCTAAGGAAATAATCAGAAATGGGAAATCCAGTAACAGTATAATTGGGTTCATATCTTTGCTTCCAATTCAGTGTAGTTCAACACACATTTCCTGAGACCTCCTGAATATTAGGCACCATTGCCATACATTGGCAGTGGAGAAAATATAATTCAGTCTTCACTTTAAGGTAATTCACAGACTAGCTTTTTGATAGGAAGATGACATCTTCTAGTCACAGTTTTGGAATACAAAAAAGGAAAATTTCTTCCTTTCAAATGTCCTTCTAAATTAAATGTTGCTAATGGATTTAAGTGTTATTATAAAAGATGACAGGATGTACAGTCAGGGAAGCAAGCTGACAACTATACAATTTTTTAACCCTCACAAATATAAGAAAAATAGAACAGGAAAGCTAAAATCCTATTTGACAATCAAACTTGCATTTCTTTTTTCTTATTTGCCCGGGCTTTGTTTAGGTTTTATCCATTTATTCATTTAACAAATATTTATTGAGCACCAACTATATGCCTTAGCAGTTTTAGACTGAATACACAACATTGAACAAACAAAAATTCACGCCCTTGTGTTTACATTTACATTGACCATAATCAAAACAAACAAAACCCAAAAAAACCTATATGCAATAACATTTTTTAAAAGATTTTATGTATTTATTTGACAGAGAGACAGCACAGGAAGGGGGAGCTGCAGGCAGAGGGAGAGTGAGAAGCAGGCTTCCAGATGAGCAAGGAGCACAATGTAGGGCTCAATCCCAGGACTCTGGGATCATGACCTGAGCCAAAGACAGATGCTTAAATGAGCCACCCAGATGCCTCTGCAATAACATTCTTATTCCCATGTCCCTCATATCCTTATTCACTCTAGAAACAAGACAAGATTTTTAAAAAATATACAATTCAATTATCCAAAAATATTTTCATGTATAATTCTTTAAGGCAGAACACACAGGCTTATTGGACATCTGTATTCATTCTTTTGTGATCTGCCCACTTATATGCTTCTGCCATTTTGCTATTATTAGTGAGTTTTATCTGTTATTTTCTAAAGAGCTTCACAATTAGCTACAATGATACTTGGTCATACATACTGCAAAACATATTTTTTTTCCAGTTTGCCATAATAAAAGGCAAACTGAGCATAAGAATTTGCACATACCGTATTATTACAAAACCAGGTAATGTCCCCTTCATTACCAGTGTAGAAAAGTATTGATCCACCATTTTTCTTCCAGTATGCATCAGCTATTAGGTACCGTTGTTTAAAAGTTTTATCAGCACTAAATCCAAAATGATCAACCTAAGACAAAAACACAGTAGACAAATTTCAGAGGAGAGTAATTTAATGAGAACAAAAAAAAAGTAATTAAGTTTATTCTTCCATTAAGATCAACCTATGTTACAAAAATAACCACAAAACTTTTTTTTTTTTAATTTCTTTTCAGTGGTCCAGAATTCATTGTTTGTGCACCACACCTGATCACAAAACTTTTTAAACTTCATTTGATTTTAGTCACAGTAGTAATACTGGCACTGTTATTTTGAAGTTACTTTCTTTATACTGTAAGATAAAAAAATGTTAGGGGCACCCGGCTGGCTCAGTTGGTAGAGCATGCAACTCTTGATCCCAGGGTCATGAGTTCATGTTCCATACTGGGTGTGAAACTTACTTAAAACAACAACAACAACAAAACCCAACAGGGGTTCCTGGATGTCTTGGCCAGTTAAGCATCTGCTTTCAGCTCAGGCCTCAGATAATGATCAGTCCTAGGACTGAGCCCCGTGTAGGCTCCTGGCTCAGCAGGGAGTCTGTTTCTCCCTCTCCTTTTACCCCTCTACCCCACTGCGCGCGCGCGCGCGCGCGCGCGTTCTCTCTCTCTCTCTCTTAAATAAATAAAATCTTTAAAAAACAACAACAATAAAAAACAATGTTATCGGTACTCAAGATTTTCAGTGTTAAGAGAAGAGATAACAATTATAAAGGAGGTATTTAAAAAAAACCGTAATGTTAAAACTGAATTGGAAACAGAGATTTGAATCCATTAACTTTTAAAATACATATATCCCTGGGGCACCTGGGTGGCTCAGCTGGTTGAGCATCTGCCTTCCACTCAGGTCGGGATCCCCAGCACCTGGGATGGCCCTGCTAGGTGGGGAGTCTGCTTATCCCGTTCCCTCTGCCCCTCCCCCTGCTTATGCGAGCATTCTCTCTCAAATACATAAAATCTTTTAAAAAATACAGATATCCCTTACCACCATCCGTATTTTCATTAGCTGATTGAAACATTCAATTCACAAAAATCTATTAGTTCAGAAGGATATCAAAAAAGGAAAAACAAAATATATAGTCCTTTGTCACCACTTAAGGTGCCTATTAAACCAACTCCTAACTTAGAAATTGGGAATACAAAAATAAAGAACTCAACATTTAACCTCCCTTTCCAGTGGAATTGTGTTTCAAAATATCAAATAGCTCCAGTTAATGAAAAAAAGCTGTGTTCAATTAAATTTCAGCTAAAGCAGAAGGAATGACAAAATTAGACAAATGAGTTTTGCAAACCCTTATGAAGTTACTGATTTGGGCAAAAATTACCACATGGTGTTAAAAACATTAGGAAAATGAATGACAGGGAAATGAAGATTTGTATTAGGACCAAAGTAACACCATGGAGAGTACCTTCTTGTCACATAACAAAATGTAATTTTACAATGGAAGGATCAGGCTGTCATCACCTCACTCTACTGATCAAAATTAGCATCACTACCAGCGGGCCCCGCATGGATTATGCACCTTCTCAGGTGGTACAAGAAAAGCAAATATCACCAAATTTCACCTATGATAAAATCATGACAAAAATGTTCAACTTGTATCTTTTTCCAGCCTTCAGATCTGATTTCTTTTAGATCTGATTTCCTGTTTGTACAGAACAGGAAATACACAGGTAGATTAACAAGATAAAGACACTCTGAATAAGCAATCAGACAAATCCAAACGTGGGATAAGACAATGGTAAGGCAATGTAATGATAAATACTAAACTTTAAGGAACAAAATAACCAGATGCAATGCATGATTCCAAGTTGTATTCTGGTTCAAACAAATGATAATTTAGGGACAATTAGGTTAATGTGAATATGGACTAGGTATTAGACAATACTAAGGACTCATTAATTTTGTTAGGAATGATCATATAGTGGCTACATAAGTAAACGTTTTTATTTTTTACAGCTGTACGTTGAATGATTTAGAGATAGAATGTCATGCTGTCTGCAATTTACCTGAAAATATTTCAGCACAAAAAAGTAAGATGAATTTAAAGGAAGAAAATTTAATCTATACTGACAGAGAAAAAAACACAGGATACTGAGACTTTGCAAGACTTAATATAAAACATGTCCAAATGATAAAAATGACAATAATTTTAAGCTTAAAACAAACTTTACATTTTTGTGATTTTTTTTTTACCCTTCCCTTAATAAACTCACCATTTAAATATATTTATCAAATCCTACAACATGGTAAGATTCATGTGCAACTACCTAAATTTATAGTGTTATCAACAGTACAGAGTCCCACTGAGCCTCTAGGATCATGGGGCTGCATTTCCCCAGTACTATGGAGACAGAAGTGAAACTGCTCCATCTGGTCTGGGGTAGACCAGTACCTCAGTGCTGCTCCAGTGCTGCCTCAGACTGTCTGGTTCAGACCTACACCAAGCTCTGCAAGACTTACCTAGGTCCTTCTAAAGCAGATGGGACTCCTCATACCCAGCTCCATCTACCCATACATATCTACTTCACATTATTCCAGAGGTCCCAAACATGCAAGTTTCTCAAAACTACACTAACTGTATACTTTCTGATGACCATGATCATCATTACACATAGTCCTAAAATATAAGCTATTCTAATCCAAAATCTGCCTACCTCGAGAAAATAAAGTTTGTACAGAACAGGCATATGATAATGATGTCCATGTGCTAAAAATCCCTCCCATTTTATATGCCAGTTCAACATATATAACCAATCCCTCATTCAACAAGCATCTATTGAATCGCCAAGTTCCTGTTCTGGGCCAAGAAGTAAGCTTGGCAATGGGATAAAGTGTTGGCTGAGCCATAACACCTACACTTAATTTAAATGAATTCAAGTATACCCATTCACCTAAAAAAAATGGAGAGCAAGAGAGACAGTGGAGGGAAGACAAGTGATCCTACTTGCCTCCATTCAATTAGTACAGCAGTCCTCCATTCAAAGTCCTCAGAAGTCAGAATCAGCATCACCTGAGAATTTCTTAAAAATGCAAATGCTCTGGCAGAATCCCAGAACTACTGAGTCTGAAACTGTGGAGAGTAGAATGCAGTAGTCTGTGATGCTGATGTACAGCTGAAGTTTTGAGTTAGCCTAAGCCTAAGCCCTCAAATAGGAGATGAATCTGCTATTCTTTCTTTTGATCTAGGTTTCGGAATACCTCTAATACTATAAGCATCAAACCATGGTGAATGAGAGTCTGGTGTTTAAAGATGTGCATTACCACCCAACATGGCCCCCAAATACAAGCCAGCCTCATCATTTGAAGCTCAACAGGAAAAATCATGATCTGTTACACCAAAGAAGGAAAGACTGGCTGTAATGGACTTAGAGAAAGGAGGTACATGGCTCTCTAACAAGACACCTTACCATGCATGGGATTCTCAGAGATTATTCCACTGTAGTGATTTTCACCTTACCTACTGACTTTAGAACCCAGGCTTCTTGTAAAATGAGATATTGCTGTACCCTTAAAAAGTAGCCCACCAAAAAAAATATTTCAATAATCCAGTTTAAAGGTTTCAAATTTGAAAACATGGGTATGTGTTTATATATAGGATGTTAAACATAAATGATAAAAAAAAATTCTTGTCAGAGGAAAAGCTTCCATCTAGAATTATAAGGGTCACCAAAACTTTAGAACAAGAGAAAGTCAAACTTCTTTGTGTGACCACTGTCTGGCCATGCCTGCTCTTAGTAATTTGGCCCTAATTGTTTGAATTGGGAGAAAAAAGGAACTCTGGTATGATAGAAAGAAAGCAGGTTTGAGAGTTAACAGACCTGCACTTGAATCCCTATTGTGAGGCCTCAGGCAAGTCACTTCACCTCTCTGAGCCCAGTATCTTCCTATATAAAATAAGAATAACACACAATTTAAAGGATTGCTGTGAGGATTAGAGAAAATGTACCTAAAGTGCTAGGTATAGTTTCTAATATACAGTAAGGACTCAATAAATGTTAGTTCTCCTCTCCATCCCATTTGCAAACCATCCTAAGCTTAGAGTACTTAGGGTAAATAAGGTGGAGGGAGATGATAAAGCTCTTCACAAAAGAAAAAAGAAGTTCATATAATCGTAAGAAGTACCCCCAGAATGTCAAAATCTCCTTTTTTTTTTTTTTTTAGTGTTTCACCTAAATATTAAATAGTTAGAAAACAGGCCATGAAATCTTCTTTGCAAAACATTAGTTTAGGGAATTTTCTTGGCTCCTTCCTATGATCAAGAATATCAACTTCAGGCTATATAACTGCAGATAGTTTCCAATACCTAAGGGCCTCGCACACTAAGGGCAGTGTGCCCTCTGCCGTTGAGAACTGGGACCCACATACCACTTTCAGCTCTGTGTTCCTGAATAAAGAGATTTCATAAATCACAACAAAAAAAGGGACAAGGGCTTTATAAACCATTTGATCTGTGTCATTCAACTGAAGAAACTGCACTCAAGGACATCAAGTGACTTTGCCAAGGTCACAAGTTAGAGGAAGAGGTGGAACTTGTAATTATTTTTGCAATTTGGTTTATTGAAATAACTAAAATAAATAATAGTGCTGTAGAAGCAATAAAACATGACCTCAAAAAAGAAACACACCTCTAGTCACATAAAGTAGTCCTTTCTAAAATGCAGTCCAAGAAATTTAAAGAAATACTCTCCTTCACCTTGTAGAGAAGAGATCTGTCAGAATGTGTAGGCAAAAAGGAACAAAGAGAACATCCTTTAAATAAAATATATTGCAGCAAAATTAATTATTTTAATTAACTTCAAAACTATTGAAGAATAAAGTTCATATCCAGAAAAGTCCATTAGAACATTACACTACCCTGTGTAACACTAACATGACACAGGGGAGAAGGGAATGCAAATAACACAGAGCATGAACTACACACCTGGCACCGTGCTGGGGCCTTATAAAGATCACATCCTCCCCCCAGTTACCCTCTGGGGCACTTTCATTACACTAGTTTTATAAAAAGGTGCTGACACTTAGAAAGGC